TTACGATATTACAGCTTTCATTGATTTATTTCAAACTTGAAACTTTGTTTAGTATGTAAGGTGTAAAAAAAAATAAAAAAATTAACCGATTAATCGAATCAAATCGAATCGCATCGTGGTGTATTCTTGAGTATCGAAAATAATCGAATCGTTGGGTCAGGAAATCGTTACTGAATCGAATCGCCATGATGGATGTGATTTACACCCCTTTGAGATACCCTCAAGGGGATTTTTAATTACTAACCAATAAAGAAAGAATACCTTCGATTCACATTAAAGAGATCAGTATAGGCACCAATTATGGGGTGGGGGGGGTGGTTGGACCTTATGGAGAAAAATTTTGTTTTTCTGACCTTTTTTTCCTGCTTCAGAAGAAGTCCGGCTCTGAGGTAAGTCATAAAAGTGAGAGATTAATGTAAATCTCAGAGAACAGTGTCTGATTTACTTGAAGAAAATAAAATAGTGTTCATTTATGTCTTGCGTTTGCTGCATGTGTCGATGTGTATGTTTGTTAGCTTATCACTCTCCACTATGCAAGAAAAACTGTCTCATTGGAATCTGCCTGTTTTTGTACACCAAATTTTAAACACAGAATTTTTTTATTCATTGAATTCCTTAAACAGAATTTTTAAGTTGTAAAAATTTTCCTGAAAAACAAACAAACATTCAGCTGCAAAAAATTTGCCTGCAAATGTGTTAAACTTTTGGTGAACTGAAGCCAAAACAACACTTTGCTTCTGAGTAAATGAGGCTAAATGAGGAGTTTTTCTTGTTAAATCAATATGATTACAAAACATCAGGTAGCTAATAACAGACAGCCATTAGAGTTTTCCATCTAATGGGACTGGGTGAAATAACTGAGCCGATCACAGCTAGTGCGGCACCCCCGTCAGCCAAGACTTTTGGTTTGATCCGGAAGAAGCGGCCGGCGGCAAACTTTTTTTTTTTTTTCTGACCAAATGAGCTGATTTCATTGGCTAGAAGCTGCTCGACTGCATCAAGTGTAGATTGCTTTGGCTTGAGTTCACCAAAAGGTCAAAACATTGGCAGGCTAATTTTTTGCAGGGGAATTTTTTCAAGCGGAATTTTCACCAGATAATAAATTTCAGTGTATGGAATTCAATGTGTAAAAAAAAAAAATCTGTGTTTAAAATTCATTGTACAAAACAAGGCAGACTCCAATGAGATTGTTTTTCTACCATAG